TGCGGGACTGCCCTGGGCCACTTCATGCCACACACCTGAAGCACCTTTCTCCTTAGCTCTGAGCCCTGCCTCACCAGCTTGGGTTTTTTGTTTTTTTTTTTTTCCTTCCCCTCGGTTTATTCTTCCTCCCTCAGCAGAGGAAAAGGTGCCATCTACAGGCACGGAGAATCCATGAGCAGGCTCCGAGAATCCCCAGCCTTTCCCATGTCCCCTGTCATCACCCCCTGGGCTGGGCCACCTTCCCCGCAGGGTGATGTTCGGGATGTTCGTTCCCTGTTTGGGGTCAGGGAACAGCAGAGGGCTGTGCCAGGTGGAAGATGAGCTCCCTCCTGGCCAGCCCACCTGTGTTTGACCTGGCTGCTAACTCAGTTGAAGCAGCAAGAGAAAAACCTTGAAAAAGAGAAGGTGACTACCAGCCCTGGGGGCACCAGCAAAGGGGACACAAAGGAATTTTTGGACAAAACACAAAGGAATTTTGGTCACGCTGCTGCCTCAAGGGAATCCTGGGGGGCTCCTGTGCTGTTCACCCATAATCACAATTTCCAGCCCCGTGGGTCTCACCGTGCTCCTTTTCTGCCTGCTCTGCTCTTCCAGTTGCCTCTCGTTTAACACGTTTTGATCCACACGTTTGTGATTTAAGGAGGCAAGCCAGGAAAAGAAGAAACTGTGGGAAGAAGGGCAAATAACACCGGATAAATTATCCCTTGTGGGAGTAGGGGACAGCAGGGTGACAATAAAAGAGGGATTTCTGGGCTGCTGGGACGAAGGTGAGTGCGAGGGACCAGTGATGCTGTTTAAGGCTCAAGGTTGTCCCCAGGAGAAGGGGAAAGTTGTCCCCCATCTAGCCAAGGGTGGCAAAAATTGCGGAGCCGAGACCAGGGAGGTGGGATCGCTCCTCCGACACAGCCATGATCCCCGAGCTTGCTCCTGCTTTAAAAACCCTTCCAAGCTCCTGCTTCGTTTCGAAGGCGTTTGTCACTGTTCCATCCAGCCCTGCCGGGTGTCCCGAGCCGCGGTCACAAAATCTGGGATGGAAGAGGAGCTGGGAAATGAGTCCCATCCATCAGCAGGAGGGATGGCACAGCTCTGCCCAGCCCCTGCTCCGGGCACGCTGGAATTTCAGGCAGCCCCGGCTCCTGCGCTCCCCCGCCCTGGAGCGATAAATTAGGAGGAAAAAAGTTTCTCATCTCGGTTTGTTCTCGCAGCGCCGTCCAACAGAGCACAAGCCTGTCTAATCAGGAGCTACAGTCCTTCACCATCTGTTTGGAGCCTAATTACGAATGCAGAAAAATAATGTGCTTTACAATTGCACCAGTAAATGCTGTAAATGATTTAAATGCATGCATATGTTCCCTGCAGAATTCAGCATGCATCTGCGACTTCTTCTGCTCACATTAGGCACACAAATCAAGGGAAAAAATACCCAGATCTGATGAACAGCATGTCCCTAGGATGGTGATTTTTATCCCTTTTTTTTTTTCCCCCTGCTGGAATGGCAAACAGGGCTTTTTTGTAACAATTCATCCAGCAGCGTTTTCTTTGCTTCCATTTTAAAAACTGTTTATCACTGCTGTGTAAATATAGTACAAATTACTCCATAAAACATGTAAAAGGAGAACAGCAGCCGGGCAAGCCTGCAGCTGGCTGGCAAGGTTTCAAAGCCAAGGTTTGTTTCTTTCCTCTGGGGCACCCTTGGAAAGGGCAGGATCAGCTCAGCTCATCTGCTGAGGGTGATGGCCCTTCCCAAGCCCCCAGGGACCACTTGTGTTTCGTGGGATCATGGAATGGTTTGGGTTCAAAAGACCATCTTGTTCCTGCTCTGCTTTTTGGCCACCACCAAGGTGTTGCTGAAGGATAACAAGGGGGTGGCAGAGGTTCGTAGCTCCATAACAAAAATTCCCTTTCCTCCTCCAGCACATTTGTTTGCTTCAAAGCCCCCAATTCCAAAACACTCAACCTGGTCCAGCTCTGAAGCAAGGAGGGCGAGCTGGCACCGCAGAGGGGACAGAACCAGGTCAGGCACAGGCTCAGTTGGTTTCCTTTGAGCAGAAGATGCAGCAGATGCATCTCCTCTGCTCTGTGCCCTTTCATCCCTTCTTCTCCTCCTCCCTTGCACCCTGCTGCCTTGCCAGTTCCCAGCTTGCCTTTCCCCTTGGCCAGTCGGATTTAACTCCAAAGGCTGCTGGAAAAGGCAGCGTGGGGCAGGCACAGCATCCCCTCTGTGCTGGGGCTCTCCAAACCCTGGGTCACAGTGCCAGCAGTGCTGGGCACCACACAGGGATTTGTGTCTGACCCCGTTTCACATCATGGGCTCACCCTCAGGAATTCTGCAATGCAGGAATTCTGCACGGCTCGTTTTACATTCACAGATGAGAGGGGGCCAAGCCCTGTGCCAGACAGACCAACACCCACCTTCCTCAGCTGGGAGATGGGGAAAAACAACCCTGCTGGCTGAGAAACAAAATCTGGGAATGCATTTTTAGGCTGGTGAGGAAGACACAAAGACCCAGCTCAGCTCCAGCCCTGCCCACACCCAGGGTCTTTCTCTGGAACTCTGCAGTTCTGGGGAGCAGCTCCCTCCTGTGAAGCTCTTGGAGAACTAGAGGGCAGTGTCATCTCCCAGCTCCGTGTCACGAAGCAGGTTTGGATCCCTGCACTGTTCCTCCTGGCTAGAGCATCATTCCAGCCCTGGGAACTGGGCTGCTTTTGCTATCAAAGATGCATTTATCATAGATAAGATGATCCTGGAATAAATTTGGGTTGGAAGGGGCTGTGATGATTACCTAGCTCCAAACTCAACCCACTCAGGCACAAGATGTGGCTGCGTTGTGATGCACCCCAGACCCAGCAGCCTTCACCATCATTTCCCTCCTCATCCCACTTTTCCTTACCTGGAGCTCCTTGGTATGGCCCACACCGAGCAGCAGATGGAGTTTCTCCCAGGCACTGTGATGACTTTCCTGCTGTTTTGTGCAATTCCCTATAAATTATCCCTCTCCTTCTGCGGGGGGATCACCCACAGCTCATGGCTCAGAGGCCTGGCAGCATCCACCCCCATATCCTGGCATTCCCACCAGCATTCCCTGCTTTATGCCCAGACCTAGCTCTTGCCTAATTTGCATCTGTATTGATTTTCCCCCATCATTTATTAACCATCCTTAGCTGCATGCCACCAAAAACCAAAGGATAATTCCCCTTTTTGCTCACTCCCCCCCACCACAGGAATGCTTTCCACACCTACCTGCACGTCCTTTGGGGATATTCCACTGGAATAACTGTGCTCTCAAAGCAGTGATCTCAGGGTTCCTTCACCCAGTCTGTGCCAGGGATTTCTCTGAGTTTACAATCCAAGCTGGGAGAGAAGGATGACCAGAAGGAAAAAATGCAAGCTAAAACTGCATGCATCAGTGCATCTCCAAGAGAAATTATTCCAGACACCAGCAGTTGCACAGGATCAAGAATTATCTTTATTAGCAATGGTACCAGATAATTAAGTTCTCCCTCCAGAGGAATTTGGTCTGTAACACAGAGAGGAAGAGCAGAGATGCAAAGCAGTAAAAAACCAAGCTGATGAATCCCATCATTCCTTGGACTGGGGGAAAATGAACAGGTTGAAGGCCACAAAGGGACTTTTTGGTTGCCAGCACCAAATTGGGTTGGGCTTTTTGACCAACTGCTGCATTATTCCAGCACCAGGGAGACAACAGGAGCCTGACCCCCAAGGGGGTCTCCCAGCATCCCAACCCTTGGGTGAGCCTTCACCTGGGTCAGGGCAGTCCCTGGCCAAGTGCTGGAGGCCAAAGGGCTCCAAACCCACCAAAGGGACAGGATTAAGAGCCCACACATCCCATAAAGCTGCTCCTCACTACTGCACACCCAACAGATTTCCCACTCGTGTCTGGATTTTACACTGAAATAAAAATCAGAGAGCAAAACTGTGTGTGTGTATTGCCAAGGGCCCAAACTAAACACTGGAAAGGATTTATGTAAAAAAACCCCATGTCCACCATAGAGAACCCCACCATGGGCACAACCACCAAGGATCCTGCTGTTCTCCCAGCAGAGCCCCACACCCAGCAGCTCCACCTCTACACGTGGGCAAGGTGCTGAGAGAGCATCCCAGTAATGGAGCAGCTGCTCCTAACCCAGTCTTAAAGGAATTAATTTCCACAGACAGCATCTCTGAGGCATCACTGCACTGCCAAGCTCTGCCTTTACACCCTTGCTTATCAGTTCACCTCTTCTAGACCATAAATCCAGCCAATTTGAGAATATAAATACAATAATCGGATTGAGCCCAGGCTGTGCTGGCATATGGGAGTTTAAATGACTTTAAAAGCCAGTCTTCTTTGGGTGGGCCATATTTTTGGGTGTCACAGTAGCTCACCCCTCTGAAAACATCTGGAGGCCATATGGTGCCTGTCTACATGAATTAACCAGATTTCTGCTGTGAACCTCACACCAGGGCCTGTCTCATAGCTCTCCCTGGCTCTCACAGAGCTCTCTGAACTCAGACTGAAGACACCTTAAAAGCCACAGGTTAGGCCCACTCAGCATTTCACCTTCCTTGGGGGTCACACCACAGTCACAGCAGGAAAAATGCTCCTCTCAGCTTGGCCAGGGAATAGTCCCCAACACCAGTGGCACCATGCTAGGAGGTAGACGATCCCTCAATTCAGTTTTACATGGAAAAATTAAAGCAAGCAAAATTCCAAGTGGAACGGTTTCCCTCATATATATATATTTTTTTTTGTGCAATGATTGTATGAAATCTGTGCAAAACTGTGCCCTGATCCCTGGGGCAGCTGCTACTCACTTCCCTAAGTTGTGTGAAGGTGCTCCAGGGCTCAAATCCCTTTTAGTTCAACACCACCATGACAGCTTGGTGAGGGGTGATCCTCCCAAAAGACCACCCAACCTCTGAAGGGCTGAACTCATAACAGTGTGGCAGTAAAACCCAAAGTGCCCCCCAAAACCCTGGGTTTAGCTTAAAACCACAGCACAAGGGTAAGGGATGGTATCCCTGCATCCCTGGTGCTTCCCTGAGTTCCCTGGGGAAGGTGAAGCTGTTTTGGTCCCTGCTCCATTAAATTGGGGAGCGACAATGTCTGACAGAACCTTCCCAAGCACAGGGGATGCCCCTTCCCAGAAGGGAGACTTTTCCTCTGCATCCCCCCTGGATGCAGCTACCCCCCCCTCCCAATTCAGGTAAAACCACAGGCTACCTGACTTTTTTTGGGAAAAAACCCAAACCCTAAATACCCAACAGCAGCTCCACAAACCGAGGGCATCCTCCTCCTCCTCTTCCTGCCCCTCTACACGAGGTGCACCACGAAAACAGCACAGGCAGAGCCCAGAGCCAGCCCCAGCACGAGGTAAAAGGTCATCACCACCCCTGCTGCCTCAGCCAGCTCTTTGGGCACGATTTTGGGGCCATAGACCATGACCAGCGTGCCCAGGTAGCCGTTGCTGAGCCCCAGCAGCGCCGTGAAGACCACGGGGTAGAAGTCCTGGTCGAACACCACGGTCCGGATGTGAGCCCGGGGCTGGTAGTTGCTGAGGATGAAGAGAGGGAGGAAGATGGTTCTGAGGAGGACAAGGGCAGGCAGCAGTTTGCTCTTGGGGCCAGGCACCTGGATCCAGGCAGTGACCTGCCTCCCACACCAGTCAGCAAAGTTGTACAGGAGGAAACACGTGAGGGGCGTGAAGTACTTGGTGCTCCACGGGCTTCCCGAGGATTTGCTGACAGACTCAATGTTGGAGGAGAGGGAAGGGAAGATGATGATGGAGATGAAGAAGACGTAGAAGAGGCAGAAGCCCAGGAGGGCGGTCTTCTGCAGGATGGGGCGGAGTGGGGGGATTCCAGCACTTTTGGTGAGGAAGGAGGAATTTGTGCTACCTCCTGGCTGTGCCTCGTCCTCCACGGGGCTGTCGGGGGGCACAGTGACCAGAGAGGGGCTCTCCTTCTGGCTGCTCAGGTAATACCTGGAGAAAGAGATAGAGGGAAACATGAGGGGAATGCAACTGGCATTTGGAGAGAAGTGACCCTTGCAGACCCACCATCCCCCTGCACCCTCAGCGTTCTCAGAGGGCACCCTACTGCATGCAGGCACTTGGGGCCTACAAGCACCAACCAGACCAGTGGGTCACGCAGACACACGATGTGGGGACACTCGTGGTTGGCTGCCTCCAGATTAGGGCTCTCTGCTGACTCCACACATTTTGGGAGCACCAGCAGCCCTGGGAGAGCTTGACAGAAACTCAGCACGCACCCAGTTTCAGCCTGTGGTTTCGGTGAAAGGGGAAGCGTGGCCGACGGTGTGACAGGCCAGGGACCAGCACAGCGAGGATTCCCCAGTGATTCCCCAGTAATCCCCCTGCAATCCCACTGCAATCCCCCCACAGGATGCCCCTGGCAGGCTGGCACTCACCTGGAGTACTCCAGCCTGGGCAGGAGCAGGTACACCATGATGCAGATGACGATGAAGATGTCAGCAGTGAGGAAATAGGCCAGGGCGCTGTCGGTGACATCGGCTGCTGCTGCCAGGTCTATCACAGAGGCCACGGCACTGATGGTGCCACCCATGGCCTGGCCTGCGTGTGGGGACAGAGATGGGCACAGTGAGAGAGCAGGAGGGGCAGCCCAGGAGCTCTTCTGGCACGCACAGGGGACACAGCTCAGGCCCTGCCCCACACCCGCCTCGGGGTGCAGCTGCACAAACCAGCTCCTCTCCATTCCCACACCTCAGGTGCCATCCTGCACCCCCTTCCAACACAGCACAGGGGTCAGGATGGGATCCAGTCTGCTGGGCCTGCAGGTGCCCACTCCTGCAGAAAAAAGTCCAAACCTAGCTTTCCACTGGCACACATAATCAACCTCTCTTCTGCACTCCCCCAGATGGGAATTCAAGCCCCTGGCAGCAGGAATGCCATCTCAGGGATGTGGCACTTTCCTTCTCTGAGATAAACTCATTAATACACTCCTGTCTTGGCCCCAGGAAAAAAAATCTCACCATCCCTATTTTTTTCCCCCCCTTCTCCTCTTGGTTTGTCAACCATTCCACAGCACATTTATAATGTTATCAAAGCTCCAGGGAGCTCATCACTCACAGCTCCCAAGCTGCCCCTCATCACTCATGAAAATACTGATCAGAAAAGAGCAGACAAGCAAAGCTGCAGATCCCTCTGCTGGAAATGGCAGGGCAGGAGGTGGCATCTCCTTCCCTCCCTTCTCCCTGCACCCAGCAGCTCTCCAGGGTCAGTCTGTGGCTATTTACAGAAACCAAAGCTCATGTGACTGAGCAAGTTTCTCCTTCAGCAACTTCCCTTTATCATTAAACCAAAGTTAAGCTTCTAAAACAAACCCCACATGACAAAACCCCAGAGGCAGGAGAGAGAAAACCACGGAGCCGAGCAGGGACAGTCCAAGAGCACAATGGGATCACCCAACCTGAGATCAGAGCCTGCAGGTTCCTCATGGGGAAGCAGCTGCTCAGGCCGAAGATGCTGCTGGAGAAGACAGTGGAGGCGCTGCTGACCACAGCCACGCAGCCCACGGTGAGGGCAAAGAAGGGCGTGGTCCAGGAGGACGTGTCCACCTTCACCAGCACCGTGATCACCAGGAAAACGGCCAGCATGACAAAGAGGGAGGACAGGATCCGGACACTGGCAGGAACCCTGGGGACAAGGGGAAGAAGTTGGCGTTTCAAACCACAATGTGAAGGCTCGATGGGAGCACAACTCCCGTGCAGGCAGAAAGGGCAGAGAAAACAAAGAGAGGTGGGAGGAGAGGAGGAAGCAGCGAGGCAGGGAGCTGGAAAATCTGGAGATTAGGCACCAAAACCCGTGCCTGCAGGCACGCAGGAGTTTGATGTGGGATAAGGAAGGGTACAAATGAAGATTTGAGATTTAAGCCAAGCTTGCAATAAGGTGCAGCTGGTCCATTTCTTATCCCAGTTCAAGAGCTGGTGTTGCTCCTACCTGAATGAGCTTGGCTTTTGTTGATGACAATAAAGGTATTTTTTAAGAGGTAAGACTGTTTCCAAGCAATTAACCAAGGAATTCATTAGGAATTTATTTACTCAAGCCAACTGCAGGCACGTGTGGAGCAAAGTGCTTCTCCCACTTCATCTCAGCTGGCTGCAACTCAGGCAGGGACAAGGAGGGGAATTTTGGCTGCACAGGGAGGCTGAGCCCATGGTCTCCCCCTGAAAGATGGGCAGGTGGAAAGAAGACAAGAACAAAGCCAGGGAGAAACATGGCTCAGGCACTTGGGATCAGAGCAGCACTTACTTGTTGACAAGCAGGAAGTTTCCAATCAGGCACAGCACTGAGGGCACGGTGGAAGCAATGGAGATGTAACTCTCAAAATAGTCCTGCCAGGAAAAAAAAAGAAACACGGTAGGGGGGAACACCACAGGAATTTCAGGTCTTGAATACGACACAACAGGGAGTTATGGGTGCAGGTGTCCACCTTGTTTTAGTGTAGCCCACGGTGCAAATTGCTCAGGGCAATGGGAATTCTGGGATTTGCCCTCCCAAAGCCCTGGGCTACTTCAGGAAATCAGGGACATACATTAAGAAGGAAAGAAATAAACAGTGAAAGAAATGGCTGCCACGGTGCTGTGCACCATCAAAGCATGTCTGCTCCCTCTCTTGCCCTCGAGGGGCTTAATCCCATTTCTTTTCTGCAGGAATCTCAGCCAGCAGGTAGGACAATGCACACAAAGAGGAGCATGACCTACATGTCCACCCCTATCATGACAGGTTTTCATTTTCTGCACTTATCCAGCTACAGAGATGGGGTATCACCACACCCAACCAAGAGAAGGCACTTGGCAGGTTTTTCTCTGCCCAGTTCATTATTTTTTACAGCTCTGCATCATTTTTAATCAATTTACAAGCACGTTTGCCTCTTCTTCCCTATCAGGAGCTTCACTAGAAGCAACAGGATATTTAATAATCACTCCTAGAGGGTCCAGATAGGCAGAAGCTTAAATACCTGTGCTTATGGCACCAGCTCAGCCAAGCAGGGGGCTCAAAGCTCTGTGGCCACAGGATGGAATCACAGGAGAAAAGACAAAGCAAAATGCAAAGGCTGGCTGCTAGAACTCCAGCTTATTTACCCACCTACTTGAAACAAACCTCCAAACCACCCTGGGGATACTCAGTAAACTTCCAAGTTAATTTGCTTCTGCTTCTGGGGAGGAAAAATGACTTTGTAGTGCTTTGCACCAAGCAGAAGTGCACTCAAAGTAACCCAGCAGAGATGCTGCGTTTTGAACATCCCAATAAATGAATATTTATTCATTCATCCCCAGCAAATGGGCTCACACCAGCAGTGAGAAGAGAATTGGGCAAGTACTTCAGAGCCCTTGCACCACACTTTTAATGCAGCAGCAGAATGGTGGGTGGCAAATTTAATCCATGCCTGGACCAGTGGAAAATACCAGGTTCCATACTCCTCTCTCCTGCTCGTTGGGTTTTAATCCATCTCCAATGGCAACTCTTCTCCCTCCTTGGGTATTCACGTGAAAGATATGCTTTCATTTTTGGCACTGCAGGATACCCCTAGCTCTTCTCCCTTCCTGCTGAGCCCTTAAAATGAACCCCAAAGCACACCTGACATCTTCCTCCCACACCCAGGTCCCTCAGCCACGGAGCTGAGGCACACAATGGAAGCGTTTAACTCCATAGGAACTTCAGACACACTGCCACGATGCCTTAAAAAGCCACAAACCAGGACAAAGAAGCGTAGTGGTGGCAAATCTGACACAAGATGCTTTTGCAAAGTTGTTTCAATTCTGCTCCAGCCCACACTTGGCAGCTGGGCAAGGAATGCAGGTGTGTGACAGTGGTTGAAGGCACTGGAGTGTTACTGAGCACGGGGCATGAAATTAGCAGCAGTGAAAAGGCTGGAGCCAGGAGCAGGCTGTCAGTCAGAGGGGCAGCTTTTCCTTGGAGAGAGGAAAAAGTATCAGGAAGAGGAGAAACACCTTTCCAGCAAAGAAAGGCTGATCCAGCCAGGAGCACAGCTGTGCAAGCTAACACCTTCTTCAACATACTTGACTTAAACCCAGCTTTCTTCAAGAGGATCAGAGTGATGCAGAGGCAGTGAGGAACACGTGGGATGCAGGGAATATGAGAGAACACGGCTCCAAGTGGTGACAAAGCACCTTTCACCCCTCTCTGAGCACCTTCACTAGCACAGACACAGATCATTTTTCTCTTCAGGCAATGCAGGAGCTGGGGCACCATCAGTTTAATTCAGTTTCTTGCTTTACAGCAGCATACCTGTAGCATCCTGGTATTAGCACTTCCCTTCCTGCCCATCAAAAAAGCAGCTGCCACTTAACAGCTATGAAAATTAAAAGAGCTGTGGCTGTACTGGAGTGAGAAACCCGAGGGGAAACGCAGGCATTACACCTGGCCCTGTGTTTATATAAAAACAAAAAGCACCCAAACCACCTGAACAAGCTCTGCCATAAGGATGTGATGCAGCCTCATGGCTCCAACACTTTTTCCAGCCAGGAAGAAACCAACCCATGGCTTTGTCAGGGAAATAATCCTGCTGTGGCAGGAGGAGCAAGAGAAAGCAGCATTTCTGGGGACAGAAATCCATCACCCCATGACAAACTCCTCACTCCATATGCCACAAGCCAGATGTTGATCACTGCAAGGAAATACTCATGGCACACCTGCCAGATCATGAAGGACACAAAAAAGACCACCACAAAAACACCTTGCACCGTAGAGATCACCCTATGAAAAGTTAATCTCCATTATTTTAGATTCACCCTTACACTTAGCAGTCCAAATACAGGTAAAAGGCAGACCACAAAATGATCCAAAGCACCTATTTGTAAACAAATGCCAAATAAACCTTTCCCTCTGGTTTGCAGCAGGTGAAACCCTAGAGGATGCTCACTTACCTTCTGGGGGAAGTGGAGGGGGAAAACCGAACAAGTTAGGAAGGAAAGCAGGTTATTTTTTCTGCCTCAAAAGCAGCACTCACCCGCAGGTCTGAGGCCGCCTGCCCCTCTGGGCCCGGCTCATCCGAGCAGTTCTGCAGCTTGTACCTCCAGTAGTGCTTGGCCGTGATGAAGAAATTCCAGGGCAGCAGGGACCCGATGCCCAAGAGGAAAAATATCACGTAAGCACCATGCCAGCGATCCCTTGGCTTCTGCCGGCTGTACCTGCTGCCCGCGGGATCCTCCAGCAGGGGCTCCTGGTCCGGGGGAAGGCTGCCGGCTGCCGGGACCATCGTGCTGGGAAAAACAGCCACAAGGATTTTGTCACACCAGGGCTCCACAGGGCTGTGGCTGCATCCCCTTTTGGGCCCAGCAAATCATGGAAGCGCCGAGTGGTTCGGTGTTGGAAGGGACCTTGAAGCCCATCTCACCCTGCCATGGGTAGGGACACCTTCCACTAGCCCAGGTGGCTCAAAGTCCTGTCCAGCCTGGCTTGGGACACTTCCAGGGATAGCCACAGCTTCTCTGGGCAACCTGTGCCAGGGCCTCAGCAGCCAAATACTGGAGGCAGGGATGGAAAGGGACTGAGGCTCAGCAGATTCCACCCATATTAATTAATAATTAACTTGTCCCCTCGGATGTGCAAGGGTAACAAACCTCCTTTAGCTCACGTCAGGCTCCAAAAAGAACCCGGCAGCTGCCAGGCCAGCAGCGCCCAAGGGCTCAGCAGAGCCAGGTGCAAACTCGCAGCGACACCGCCGGCCTTTGCGAGAGGACCCGTAAACCACCACAGCATCACCGGGGCTCGGCGGAGCGGCTCCCAAACCCAAGCCGGCTGGGTGAAATGAGTCACAAACACACGCGGCAGAGCAGGAAAACCACCTGTGAGGGCCGCAGCAGCAGCCGGGCCGAGGGCACCGGGACCGGCCGGGCCGGCAGCCTCACAGCCGACCCCCGCCCACAGAGGCCGGGCGGAGCGCGGGAGAGGCGGAAATGCCGGAAACCGCGGATTTTGCAAACAAACGGGGAATTTCGGGAGCGGGGAAGTGCCGCCTCACTCCCTCGCTCCAGCCTCCCACACGTCTCCCTCCGCCCGGCCCAACCCCGCAACACTTACGGGAGTTCGGGTCCCGATCCCGGTCCGGTGCCAGCCCGACCCGGTCCCACCCCTCCTCCGCCTCCGCCGCCGCCGCCGCCGCCTGAGGGCCCGAGGCCCCGCCCCGCCCCGCCTTTAATGGGCAGGCCACGCCCACCCACCCCATAGCCACGCCCATAGCAAACACAGCCACGCCCACCCCCATAACCACGCCCACACACTCAGAGCCACGTCCATTACATCAAAGCCACGCCCCCATCGGCCTTGGCCACGCCCCTAGACCACGCCCATCCGCCCCAAATTCTGCCCCGCTCCGGTGGGATCCCACCCGTGCCCAGCTCTGGCATCCCCTGCCCAGGGAGGGCGTGGAGCTGCTGGAGAGAGTCCAGAGATGCTCCCAGGGCTGGAAAACCCTGTATGGACACAGGCTGGGAGAGCCCAGAAAGGCTGAGCTGGAAGTGAGACTAGGCAGAGCAAAAGGAATAAAATTGGTATTTATTGACAGGATGCAGTTTGGGCAGTGCAAGAGCCCAGCCGGGGCTACACCCAAATCAAATCCAAGCTGGATCCCCATCACAAGTTTTTACACTTTTGTAAGTTTTGGTTCATCCACATATTGGGGTCAATTATCCAAGCACAGCCCCAGGCTATGGAGTCTCAGTCCCCTGACTTGTCCCCTTTCCCTCGCCGTTGTTTCTGCTTTTGGGGTACCAGTTGTCCTTGATTCTCTAGCTAGAAAACAATTATTTTGTCTAACTACCCTATAAAGAGAATTTACTGACACCTCATATGAAGTTTCAGAGTTACACACTAAGCAGCAGAGATTGTGAAAAATATAAAAGCTCAAACCCAAGACATCACTGGGAGTGCTCACCTGGAGAACAGAAGGCTCCAGGGAGACCTCAGAGCCCCTTCCAGTGCCTGAAGGGGGTCCAGGAGAACTGGAGAGGGACTTGGGACAAGGGATGGAGGGACAGGACACAGGGAATGGCTGAAGATGGGAGGATGGGCAATGGGGAGCATCTTCTTCAGGATGGGGTACAAGCTCCTCCTTAACTCCCTGTGCTCCCTGCAATACCCCATCAGCATGAATTCCACTGTAAAGTCCTCAATTCCTTCCAAACTACACTCTCACACTCACCTTGAGGGCATGGTGTGACTCTGAAGGAAAACACCATTACCTCTTTTTTTTTTTTCCTTGTTTCTTTCCCCAAAGCTGCGTCTCCTCAGCAGCTACACAGGGACGTGCACGTGTATCCAACCCTTCATCAAAGCCAAATACACTCCTTTTTTTTTTTTTTCTTTTAGAAGGCCTTGAAATGGTCACAACAACGCAAGACACGCTCCAGTGGTTGCTTTTTTTTCCTCTTTTGTGATCAGAAACAAGCAGCAGGAATGGAAAGGCTGGAGAGGAACATGTGGGTTTCTCTGCAGATGTTTCTCCTTGTGTTCCTGTAGAAATTTCGCTGAGTTCTAATTGGCAAACTGGCTGTTTCAACAGGAGAGCAACAAGGTGGAATTGGGCACCAGCTGGTCAAAGTTATCCACAGGTAACTGTGGGCCTTTGGAAAGACGGTTTAGGGCAAAAAGTGCCCAGGGAAAGAAAGGTGGGAGGTTGAGGTTAGAAGAACTCAGATGTAAAGAAAAGGACAAGCAGGAGTGGCTTTAAAGTGACAAGAGGGCAAGTTTATACAGGATATTTGGAAGGAATTCTTCCCTGTGAGGGTGGTGAGGCTCTTGTACAGGCTGCCCAGAGGAGCTGTGGCTGGCCCTGGATCCCTGGAAGTGTCCAAGGCCAGGCTGGAGCAAGCTGGTCTGATGGAAGGTGTCCCTGTCCTTGGCAGGGGGGTGGAACAAGACTGTGTATAACATCCCTTGCAAAGCCAACCATTCTAGGACTCTCTGGAAAGGTTATCCCTTCTGAGAAGGCATCTGCCTCAGCATCCTGCCCACAGCTGGAAAGTCCCAGCTGGGAAGGTCGGGCACATTTGTGTGGCTACATTATGATCGCTGTGGTGCCAGAGCAGGGATTTCCTCCCCATTTTTCCTCAGTGGCTGCAGGATTCCCACTCCTGCCCAGAGCACGGACAATGTTGCCACCTCCTGGTGAGCTGAGTGACCCAGGCAGGGACAGTGGGCTCCTGGAACCTCCCTGCAAACCCTTCTGCCAGGGGAGGGAACAAAGTTGGGTGCCCCACTTGCAGCTGCAGCTCCGTGCTCCATTCCCCTCTCCCAAATGATCCCCCCTAATCCTGGTCTTTGCTGCAAGGGGCATTGCTTTCTGTAGGATATCCCTTGAGGAAAGGAATGAACTGCTTGAGAGGGTGGCTCAGCCCACGAGCCACAGCTGTAGCCCTTGTCTCCTGCCTTGGAAGCACTCATGCGAGCCCAAAACAAACCATCAATCAACCTCCTGCAAATGCCAAACACAGCAAGAACCCATGAGTGATGAACAGGGTGGGGAGTGAGCAGATTGTTTCCTTTTTTTTTTTTTTTTTAATTTTTTTATTATTAGACTAGGAAATATAATTTATTGCATAAAAATTAATTTGTTACAATAGGAATGCTAAACTTTATTTACAGTTCTTTAGTTTACAGAATAAACAGATGTGGGTTTTAGAGGACGCCAACAGGCCCATCCCCTGGACATATAAATATGGAAACACATTTTGGAGCAAGAGATGGACACTGCCAGCACGACACAGACCTGCATTTGCCAAAATGCCTGGCTGGAGAAACCCCTGGGCACGGAGGGCTCCTGGGAGCTGGAGGCAAACCCTGCATCCCCCCTGCCCTGCTCCTGCTGCAGGTTCCCTGGTCAGAAAAACGGGCAGGATCTCCCCAAACATGCACTTCAGCCGAGCCAGCTGCCTGCCCCAAGGAAGGGGAGGATGAGCACAGAGGGATGGGGATGGAGAGAGGCACCCACAGGCAGGGTGGAAGGATGGATGGACGGACAGACAGACGCACATCCGGGCGCAGGGATCCATAAACCAGAGAATGGGAGCGAGAGAGATTCTGAGGTGGGACCTGAAAGAGCATCTCATCCCTCAGAGAACGCCCTGGAACTGAGAAAGATTGATCCATCTGGATTGATCCATCGAGTCTTTATTGCTCTCCAAACTTGCTTATTCTTCCTTAGCTCAGAGGGTCTCAGAAATGGTCAAATGCGACCCCAAAGGATGGATAAGCCCCTTCCCACGTGTCACCAGAAAGATCCCTTCTCTCCCACAGCCCTGAAACCTCAGGAGCTGCCCCGAGCAATCCCACCACATCCCAGCAATACTGAAAGCTCCTCCCGAGCTGCCCCGTGCAGGTGATGCTCTCCAGGCTCCCTGAGCGTGCTCCAGCACTTTGTGGGATTCCAAGACACCGATCCAGGGCCCTGCACGTGCTCCTAATACTTCCACTGATGGAGAATCCACAGCCTGGCCGTGTGACCTAATCTAATCCTGAGCTTACCACCCCCTCCCCATTTCATTTTATTTTATTTAAAACAAATTTCTAAGATACAGCACTCTGTGAGTAACTATTTCTACCTGCAGGCAACCTAATTTTTTTACCTTCATCAAGACACCGTATCTGTGTGAGGAACCTCGTTCCTGCCTACCACTTGATTGCTTCCCATTCACCCCACAGCTTCTCCATCGTTTTTAAAAGCCCATTCCAGGGAAAAAGAGGAGCTGCAGTGGAGGAGGGGGACCTGAGCACTGCTCATGTGAAAACGCTCAGCCTGGTTTGCAGCTTGGGAATACCAGACGTTCCCTCCCTGAATCCGTGCTGAAATACTGCATCCAAATCCAGGCAGGAGTGCACGGACCTGAAGCAGGGGTGGTTTGAAGTGGCCACTGTGGCAGCCTCTGCTCTCCCCCTGACCTCTCCACACCCACTCATCACCTCCCTCTGACCCCCGGGCCCAGGTTTGGGGTGCTCACTGTAAAATCCCCCTCCCCTTTAGCCTCGAGTCCGGAGGTTGGCGCAGGACTGAAATCTTTGGTTTGTACTGAAGTTATGGAAATGAAGGCGTAGTCATCCTAAAAAGCTCCCCCAAACCATGCCAGGGAAGAATTCATTAAAAACACCCATCTCTGGATGCACTCTCCCCACCCTGAACCCTAAAGAAAGGGCAGCATCCCTCATCCCTCCTTGCAGGTGGAGTGCAGGGACCAGTCATTCCTGCTGCCAGGAAAAAAAAAAAAAAAGAGTT